GGGGGGGATCTCCGTCGGCTTACCTTCGGATTCTTCTCAAGTGTCACCGTCTGCGTCGCTACAGTTGTGACTAGTTTGGAAACATAGGATAGACTAAAAAATATTCTGGCTTGTCTAGTACTCCAAATAGATCAATACTCCTATGCATATGCCCACGAGGCTCAATCAATAAACAACGATTCCACCAATCCCTCTCTATTCCCTTCTAACAGATTAGGACCATGTTGCTGTTGTGTAGGTGACCCATGTAGATTTGGCTTTCGAAGTTCCTGGAGGCCGGTGCCAGGAGGAAGTAGCTGCAATCATGAAAGTCATGACAACACACATGCTCATAAGTGCGTTCTTGTTACTTTGCATTCATTTTCGATAAAGGACATTTCATTGAACTGATATATTGAGTGATAAAGGACATTTCATAAGTGCATTATTGTTACTTTGCATTCATGGAGGAAAATGGATTAGCTCCTTTGACAAAGGCTGAGGCGAATCATTGTTTCTTTCTAGACTCTCCAGGTTGTGATGGGGTGTGAATCAGCCCAATCAGTTTCAGCATTCAGTACTGTAGATATGGTGACAATGGTCTGTTTGGTATCTATTTGGTGACGGTGAGATGAATCTTTTTCTTCATCTTTTTGAGCTCATCATATTTGATTCGCTAGAAGTTCATGCGGCTTTTGTGGTGATTATTGTAATGAGAGAGCCATTCGCCTGAGCCTTGTAATTTTATTTGATCTGAAATGTATTGATAACGAAATGTGTGTGTGCAACAACATTATTTTTTTTGTTTATCAGGGCACCTAAATGGTAATCTGTTGATAAGGGAAGCTTCTCATTCTGAATTGATGCAGCCATCCAATTTTGTCACTGTAAAAGAACTACCAACAATTGCAAAGGTACAAATTTATTATGCCGGGCTGTCATATTTATCAGAACTCTCAAACTGTTTCGTGTATACAGTAATGGAAGTTCAGCTCAGTTGAGCCAAAAAATTGAAGATTTCATCCGTTCCAGAGAAACACGAATCCAGGGTACGTAACTGCAGAAAGCACTGAATCTCTCTTGCCTTTTTTTTTGTTCTCTGGTTCAAAATATTATATATGATTTGTGATCAGAATAATCTTACAGATGAGATTGGGAGGCAAATCCTAATTAATGGTTCAGGGTCAAACTGGTATTAACATCGTAAGCTGCTTCGTGACCTTAACCAGTTGGGCCTGCGTGTCGGCCTGCCCGGTGGTGGCGGCCTGCGTGTCGCGGGGTGGTGGCTGCGTTGGCCCTGCCTGGTGGTCGTGGGTGGATGCTGTGGATCTCATCTGAGGCGGCAGCCAGCTCCTCTCGTGCGATCCGAAGGTGGCAGTGGCCGAAGCACCATAGCCGGCGGAGCGGCGACCCTGAGATGGACGGCGGCGGTGGAAGCGCCCCATCCAACGGGGTGGGCTGTTTTGGTCGGAGATGGTGACGGCAGTGACTGCGGATCCAACGCCCCGATCGGATCCGCCGCGGGGAAGCCTTCTGCCGACAGGAGGCGCGTGGAGGGACCGGTGAGGAGATGCAGGATCTCCGCCGGAGTACCGACGGCGACGTACGTCTTCATGGAGAGGTTCCGCTCGGTTCCAGCCAGCCGCGAGATCGGGACGACGTGGCTTCCGGTGAAAATCGCGCCTGACTGCGGTCTTGGCGGACGATGGCGGCGTCTCGGACGTCGTTCCCTTCTCGAGGCATCGTCGTTGCAGGTCACGTCAATCTCATCGGGTAGTTTCGGGGGAAACCCTAGATCTGAGTCTACCGGATCGGACAATGACAGCGCCTTCGGTGTCGTTCTTCCTCCTGGTGGCACCGTTTTGGAGCAAGTGTTGGTTGGAGGGGACAAGAGGAGGAGCGGTGTTTCATCTTACACATTGATGACGGCGGATCTCGACGTCGTGGCGCAATTGAGACTCGGCGCCCGATGCGCAGAGATGGACTCACGCAGGAGGGTGACGCTATCTGGCGTCGTGGTGGCGTCAGCGGCAGTTAGACCGGGCAAGGTAGATGCAGCAGTACAACTCTGAAGATGGATTGGTGGCCGGTGGCTGTGGCGGCCTCGTACCCGACAGGCGTCCTGGTTGAGGAGCACGCCGGACTGGTGGGTGCCCATACCCAGCAGGCGTCCCGATTGGGACTTCAGGTCTTAGATGTTAGGTTTGGCTGCAAGGTCTGTTTGGTATTAGGCCCTGACTATCAGCGCCCCTTCATCAACTGGATAGGAGTAGCGACAGATGTTGCATAGACGGTGACTTTAGTCTTACTGTTGTATGTCTTTGTTAGGTCTTGTGTCAATAATTAATAAAATGGTTGTATGCATCGTCCAGATGCAGAGGCCGGGAGTCTTCCTCCTTTTTTAAAAAAAAGTTCTAACTGAGTTTACGAAGAAGCTTGCCATTTTCACTCAAATCATAATACATAGATGTGTTACGTTCGGCATCATTTGCATGACCGTCTGGACACTCCAAAAAGAACTTGCATTTCTGGACTTCTACAACTGAAAAGCAGAGCTTACGATAAACCCGATATTGTTAGTGAAGTACTGTCAGCCATTGCGACATCTAACGAAGTTAGAAGTTAGCAAAAATATCTGACTGTTCTGACTGTTCTGACCCGATACCTTGCTTATATATTTACCATTCTGACTGTTCTGAAACCTGTGAAAATATCTGTATATACAGCAGCAAAAGCTGAGCTCCTTCTGTGGAGGTGTGTATACAGTAGCAAAAACTGAGCCCCTAGGCAAGGTGTTAGGCTTGTTCTAGGCCCATGTTGTGTCTATAGATCTGCTTTGTAAGGGGGCCTACCCATCATATTGTATCGTTCGGCCGTGTACTTTGGTTCGTTGCTTTAGTTATAAAGTGGGGCGAAAGCCTGTTTCGTAGCAAAAGCTGAGCTTTGATGAATGAAAAATTTGACGATTTCAACCATTCTTCAGAACCTCGAATTCATGGTAACCATACAAAGCATCTCAACCACTCTTGCCTCCATTTCTTTTACTTTTTTTACCAATCTGCCCTCATCGTGTGGATGTTAAAGAGCTGCTTTTTTACATCATTTTCTAGATGATGTACAAACAGTTCCATGGTTGGAGCTACCTCGATGACTGGGGAATCTGCTTTGGTCAGTATATATAGACCAGTAAATTGAGCAGATTTAGCCAATAGTTCAAGAAAATTATTTGCAAAACTCAGATAAATGTTTGTTGTGCTACACTGGCCATAGAAATCGGCAACCCATTTTGCAAGCTGCTTCTTAAACTTAGCCTGACGAAAATATTTCTGTTTACAAACCTCAGCGCCCTTTCTTTTATAAATCCCAGACCTGTTCAGTTGATTTCTTTTAGAAATATTTCTTTACAAAGAGAGTAGAAAGGCAGAGCAAAATACCCACAAAACTTGCATGATATAGTGACATGGATCTTCAGAAATAAAACCAGGAATGTTGGTAGGAGTACAGCACACTTGTAGTAAACTAGTAATAAACAACACCTGAATCAAATAAATACACATGCCACTTGAAGTCACAAGCCACACTTGGTATTTAAACAGATCTCATGCCAAAAACCAGAATTACAGAGCTTACACATACATCACCAACATAGAATATCAGACACTCCAATAAAATGTGTTGGAACAAGAAAAAATAAATCCGGTTCGATGGGAGACAAAGTGACCGCTCGACAATAACCAGGAAAACTGGACTTTTATTTGGAAAAAAACTCTAAACTTGTAGATGACATGCAGGAGTACACGGAGCCAGGCGTATGTATGGATGGAGAGATGTGGGTCAATGGACACAAGGGTAGTTGACATATCAGTATGGATTTATGGTGGAACACTGTAAATAAGGAGTGTTGAGGAAGGTACTCTATTGTGTATGGTGGAACACTGTAGGCACAGGAGGCATCGGAGGCACCTTCCCCATCGGTGCAGTGATGGTGGTATTGTTTTCATGGAAGTGCTGGAGCAGTGGAAGCTCCTAGAGGCATATCTTTTGGGCTGATAAGTATCATCTTGCAGCCGAGAGTGGTTGGCATATATACAACATGGACGTATGGTGGAACACTGTTAAAAAGGTAGTGCTTAGGAAAGTATTCAGTGGTGAATGTATAGTTGATGAACAGAGGATAAATATACAGAATGAAATCACATACCAACTGATGGGTGGATGGCTGGATGTGTTGACGAAGACTGGATTGATTCATCTGAGGTAGCTGCTCATCTCGGCCTGCTCGTCGAAGGAGGCGAACTCCGGGGGAAGCTTGGGGTCGTAGCTGTCGCGATGCAGCGGTGAGCTCCACTGGAGTTTGCTCCACCAGCTCCTCTCGCCATTCACCTTCACTCTCTCCAGCTGGCGTCCATGTAGATGCGGGAGGCGTTGGATGCTCCAGCACCCTCGGACGTGGAGCTCCTTCCACATCGGCGCTGTTATAGTGGCATCGTCGTTGTGGAAGTGTTGGAGCAGTGGCAGCTCTTGGAGTCCTACCCTTTGGAGGCTTGGAAGCTGACAAGTATTATCTTGCGGATCATGGGCGATGAAAATTGTCTTGAGGTTATAGCAGAACAGGATGTCAAGAGTCTTCAGGCACTACGGGAAAAAACTTATAAGCCGTGTAAAAGACTATACGCCGAGATCTATTTTTCGGGTACCCGGCTTACGTTACACTAAGCCGAGTCAAGAAAGAAAAACACCCGGCAACTGCAAAACACCCGGCTTCTAACAACCTATAAGCCGAGCTGCACAAAATAGCTCACGGTTTAAAGTAAGCACACGGTATCTACTGGAAAAGGCACTCGGCTTACAGCTCGCGGTCGGCAAAGATACCAGCCACGTGTCGATAACAGAGACAGTGGACGGCGCCGTCACGGAGCATCCAATAAGCCGTGTGCCAGATGGATGCACTCGGCTTATAGGCTATATAAGCCGAGTGCCTACGGGTACACTCGGCTTATAAGCTATATAAGCCGTGCGCTAGACCACGGTACTCGGCTTATATTGTATATAAGCCGTGTGCCAGCTGAAAGCACTAAGGTTATATTTATGCAAAATTTGTTTAAACGATTTTTCATTGTATTTATTATTGCTATTTAATTATTATTTCTCCCTCACCCACTTTTCCCTAAATAGTTTTCATGGGTCATATCTTCGATGCCCTCGATTTACTGGTGGTTGGGCATGCCTCTCCGTCGTTTGCCTCCTTTGAGAGCACGAGAAGTTTCAAGGACAACGTAGTAGTACCAGGGGTTGGGCCATTCAATGACGCCGTGATAGCTCCCGAGGATTTTCGGCATCATATGACTTTCCGAGGATTCAAACGGTTGGATCAGGCATGCCGCCGAGGTAATTTCTCACTACCAATGGCTGGGCACGCCCCTTTCTCGACTGTACATGGAATATGCATGTCGCAAATACATCACATATGATTTTCCATGCAGCTTCTGGGCATGATGTCATGTGCCGCCTTGCGGATCTGCAATTTCCGGCGCTGAAACCCTAGAAGTGCAATAAATGTCTCAAATATTGGAGGCGCGTCCGAAAATGCGGGGCGTGACATGTGTCATTCGATGGCCTCCTTTGAGAGCACGAGTAGTTTCGAGGCCAACGGAGCAACATCTCCCGCAATTCCTTCACAAACCCGATACGTTCTCTCTCGATGCCGAGAGACTACCTCGGAGATGGTGCAGTTTACAAGCGGCCTCAGGTGAGGTCTATAAGAAATGCGCCCAAACTTTTACCACACCCTACATGGACCATTCAATGACTCCGTGACAACTCCCGAGGATTTCCGGCATCATATGACTTTCCAAGGATTCAAACGGTTGGATCAGACATGCCGCCGAGGTAATTTCACACTACCAATGGCTGGGCATGCCCCTCTATCGTCTGCACATGGCATACGCATGTTGCAAATACATCACATGTGATTTTCCATGCCGCTTCTGGGCATGATTTCCTGTGCCACCTTGCAGATCTGCAATTTCCGGCGCTAAAACCCAAGAAGTGCAATAAATATCTCAAATATTGTAGGGGCGTCCGAAAAATGTGGGGGCCTGGCACGTGTCATTCGATGGCCTCCTTTGAGAGCACGAGAAGTTTCGAGGCCAAAGGAGTAACATGTCCTGCAATTCCTTCACAAACCCGAGACGTTCTCTCTCGATACCGAGAGACTACATTTGATGGTGCAGTTTACAAGCAGCCTCAGGTGAGGCCTATAAGAAACGCGCCCAAACTTTTACCACACCCTACACAGACCATTTGATGACACCGTGACAGCTCCCGAGGATTTCCGGCATCATACGATTTTCCGAGGATTCAAACGGTTGGATCAGGCATGCCACCGAGGTAATTTCACACTACCTATCGTGGGCAAGCCCATCTCTCGTTTGCACATGGCATACACATGTCGCAACTACATAACATATGATTTTCCATGCCGCTTCTGGGCATGATTTCATGTGTCCCCTTGCAGATCCGCAATTTCCGGCTGAAACTCTAGAAGTGCAATAAATGTCTCAAATATTGCAGGCGGGTCCGAAAAATGCGGGGGCCTGGCATGTGTCATTGAATGGCCTCCTTTGAGAGCACAAGAGGTTTTGAGGCCAACAGAGCAACATGGCCCGCAATTCCTTCACAAACCCGAGACGTTCTCTCTCGATACCGAGAGACTACCTCGAAGATGGTGTAGTTTACAAGCGGCCTCAGGTGAGGCCTACAAGAAACGCACCCAAACTTTTACCACACCCTACATGGACCATTCGATGACTCCGTGACAGCTCCCGAGGATTTCCGGCATCATACGATTTTCCGAAGATTCAAATAGTTGGATCAGACATGCCGCCAAGGTAATTTCGCACCACTGATGGCTAGGCATGACCCTCTCTCGTTTGCACGTGGCATACGAATGTCGCAAATACATCACATAGGATTGTTGGCAGTTTACGTTCAAACCTCTTCCGAGTCCGGTCGAAGACATAGATCATGCGGGCCTTACGGATGGGTGAAATCTCTAAAAACATAGAGCCAATGAATTAAAAATACAATAAAAATTTAAGTATAATAAAATACAATTAAATAAAACACAGAGAATTTTAGAAGTAAAGTGATAAAATTTTTGTATTGAAATAAAAAAACAAAAAATATAGTAGTGTAAACCGTGTAATCTGTTGTGACACTCGGCTTACCCTCTGCTCTAGGCTTAGCTATGAGCGCGGGACTTAGCCAAAAAAGAAGAGCGTAGAGCTGATTTTGACCCAAATCGACCGCGCACAGGCTCTGTTTTCCCCCTCCTCTGACTCCTCCCAGCGCCGCCCCCATCTCTCCTCCCCCCGCCCCGCCGCCGCCCCCATCACTTCCCCCGCGCCGCCCCCTGAACCCTCCGCCGCGCCGCCACCCACCTCGCGC